GCACCCCCAGCCTGTGCCAGCTGGTCTCCCCAATGGGGAGAGGCCCCCTGGGACAGCCAGGAGATGGGAGGTGTTAACCCAGCGGGCTGCACACGGGCCTCTAGGGGGCCAGGGAGGGGAGGCCTATCTCTTCCCACCTCCACCCTGCTGCCCATGTCACATTTCCAGCAAGCCATCCCCACATGGCCCAGCAAGGGTGTCTCCCATCTTCCTCTCACTTCTGGGTCACCCAGCCACCTTTCCTACTTGCCAATGGGGAAACCGAGGCCAAAAGGTCCAAGGGCCGGTCCAGAGTACAGAGCTAGGAAAGGGAAGGGATTGACCCGTGAGTGGTTTTCTCCCCAGCATTTCTTGAGCATGTTTTGGGCACTAGTCCCTAATGTGCCCCCTTCCCCAGCCAGCCCTGCAGCCACAGCGCTCTGTCCTGAATCCACAGGGGCAAGACACCCAGTCCCCGGCTGGCAGTCAAAGGAGGCGGCTCACGGGGGAGGGGCACAAAGGCAGCCTTCCTCCCTGACCAGCCAGGCTCTGGCCCCCCGCACCAGCCCCAGGGTAAGAGGAGCCTGGCAACCTGTGGAGGGTCAGAGAAGGTGGCAGCCTAAGCAGGGAAGGGGTGCTGTCCCACCCCTAGGTGGAGCTTGGGCAGAATCCCTCTCAGCCCTGGGATAAGGCCCCTGTGATGGGGCCCTGGGCCAGGCCAGCCCAGCCCTACCTAACTCCTGCCTTCACACCCACGGCTCCCCTAGGAGCCCCCTGCTCGGCCCCATCTGTCCGGCGGCTGCAGTGTCCAGCCTCCACTCCAGATGTAAACCCTGGGCCTCTCCAGGGGGCAGCTGCTCGGGGCACCCATCCACTCCAGGCTCGCACTACGTCGCCACAGCCAGTTGGCAACAGATGACTGTGCCGGACCTCCTGTCCCCAGAGCCAGCTTGCACCCTGGGCCTGTAGCCCTAAGGAAGCCGCACAGAGGAAGCAGGGCCATGTGGCTCAGGCTGAGTGAGGCTGGGTGACTCTCTGCTCCCTTCTGGGAATATTGGTTTCAGCAGAAAGAGGGTTCCAGGAGAAGCTGGCACTGTGGTTTGGAATAGCAGAGGCCACATTCCCTTTCTCAGGGCTGCTCTGATTCCTTTCTCAGGGACTCAGCTGGCAAGAATGTGCTTCTATCCACAGGGCAGGGAAACCTGGGACATGGGGCAAGGTAGATTCTGGTGGCTACTCTCAGCCATGGTTAAGCTGGGTCCTGAGGAGGGGGCACACCCTGTCTGGGTGCCCTGAGGACTCACAGTTGGGAGAAGGCCTCATCTGGAGGTTGCACACCCAACAGGGCCAGGCAAGTACCCAGGTTTCTGTGCCCATTGCTCAGCCAGGAGCCTCCCGGGGCCCTTGGCCGGCACAGCCTGCTGAGATAGCTCAGAGCCTGGGAGCTTGGAGGGCTGGCACAAGGAAAGGGGGCCATGGGCTGGGGACTGGCTGGGCCCCTCTCCTGGGCCAGGAGTGCCCCTTCCCCTCCCAGGCCACCACTTGTCTCCACCCCACTGAGGACTGCTGCCTTCAGAGGGTGGTGCCAGGGGGCTCCTGGCATTTCTGGCATGGGGAGACAGGGACAGGTCCTGCTGTTGCTCTGACATGCTTCCTGCAGCCCCAGCTGGGCAACCACAGGGCTCTTCCCAGCCTCTAGGGCATGTGGTTCTGGGAAACCTCAGGGGCCACCAGGCTCCGGGGTGACCGCAACTAGGAAAGATGGTTTTGACCTACAAATTGCCCAGCCAAGGCGCTTCTGTGGGAGTCTTCCGACCTCAGAGTTCCAGGAGGGTCCCCATCTGCCTGTTACATGCCCAACTCATAGGCCATACTCCCCAGGGTGCCTACTGCAGGTCTGCCCTATAGGCATCCTGATGGGGGAAGGTGGTTCTGCACACCAGAGGGGGC